TTTCAAACATGATTCACGAAAAATGTGTCTATAAAGTGATATGATCAAAACTAAATACAACATATACCATTTCCCATTCCACTGAACAAAACAAGACAACCTTCCATTTTTAATCACTCACTATAGAATGCCTATGATATAAAAATATGGGGGCAATGGCATGCTTTCTGCAAAGAGCTCTGAGCCGAACTGGTATTTTGGCTAGCAGTACAATCCTGCATAATACTGCATTTGGCAATGTGTCAGCAGTTCAAAGCAATACTCTATTCTTTGGATCACTTACCCATTATTACTTCAGACAATGAGTATCTGATACAAAATAAAAGTGATGGATGCCGAGTGAACTGGTGTGTTCTGAGTAAGAACAAACGGAAAATACGCCGTGGTTCATTGCCTGATGAAATTACTTTTGGGTATTTAAATACATCTTACATTATGTTATGCATGAGCTGTTGAATGTGAACTCTGGAAATCAACCCTGAAATATTAACTGTTTCTACCCCACAAAATATATTATTTAAATCTCTTAAATTGTATATTGAAAATAATTATTAAATAAAGTTCCTTATATTTGCACTTGAGGCATCAATATTTTAGAGTCAATATTTTAAAATCTATCTGGCACTCATTGCTATCATTTTTTCTTTTCTCTCTCTCTCTCTCTTCCTCAATAACGAAGGGAAGAGGACAAGGATGGAAAAAGTAGATATGTCTTCCAAAATACTGTATAATAAACATTTCAGTTTGAATTTAAAATAGTGAATTTGGAATAGGAAATGATTCATCATTTCTAGGAAAAATGACTTTTTTTGGTAGACTTATACTCTTCCTGACATTTGGTTACATTAAAAATGATCTCTTGCAGTTAAAATCATGCAGCTGACTGACTTGGCATCGCATTCTTGTTTATGGCCCCAGGTTGTCAAGTTTATGAACCTCTAAAATCATCTCCCAATGCGAAGTTTGATAATTCCACTTCTCTACTCAAAAATTCTCATTGTTCATCTCCCACATAACTAATTTTTACAAAATGAAGTTTTAACTCCTTAATTTTGTATCCATGGTCTACCATTATGGACCTCTGTATGAGGGTCCAGACTTATGTTCTGAGAAAAAAGCAACTTACATCTAGATCAACCTGATATAGAAATTAGTTCTCCATTAGACTATTATTCTAGCAGAGTCGTGGACCTATTATAAACAGTAAAACAAAAAAAAATAGAATTTTAGTGAATAATTGATGGCCTAGAAGCTGGATTTTGAAAGGATGTTCAGTGTTTTATCTACCAAAGTAGCAGGGTCGTTGCAACAACCCCCATATTCTTAGAGGAACAGGGTAGGAGAACAGGGTTTCTCTAAAATATGCACCAACCCACAAAAGATAGAGAATTCTTCTAAGCTATACTCAGTTATTAATGCTGACTCTCTCACAAAGTTATGAATCACCTTTGAAACTCACTTTGGGGTATGATATCATCTGTAAAATTTATAAATAAAAATATATTTCAATAAGCCTGTCATAGTTTGGCTATTTGTTCCTTGAAACTTATTCTGAAAGAGCAAATAGATTCTTAAAGCTGTTTTTGTTTTTTTTAAATAAAAGGCCAAAGTTGCATCTTTCATTCATTCAATGAATGCTACAAAAGAAATTTATTGAAATTTTCAAAAAAATTAATAACAATGATCATAATGAATATTTTCTATAATCACTAATTAGAACACTAAGAGGTAACTTAAATGTGGGGTAACTTAAAATGACAGGGGAATCCATATTTGATAAATGTATATGTACTGGCCAATTCAAAATAAATTTCCTCAAACAGACTGAAATTCTCAAGTGTTGGAAGTAAGTACATTCATCTCAAGGAATAAATTATAATTAAAGCATTATTAAATGTCCAATTTGTCTAGTTTGCTATTTAGAATGAAATACTTTGCCTATAACAAGAAAAGGCTGGAAAAGTTTTGAAAAATTTGTGCTTCAAGAATTTAAATGTTCTGCAGTTGAATTTCCTAGTATGTATCTACCAAGACCCCAAGGCTCATACTTCTGGGGTATAGAAAATGAAGGCTTGGATGTTGGATAGTAGGAAAGCAGACACTGTTTCTGAGCCTGCATTTATTTCAGCAGGGGCATCCTGGAGGAAAGAGACAAAAACCAATAAACTGGGTCTCTACAGAAAGGAGGGAAGGAGAAAACCCTCCACAGTGGGTGATCTTGCAGAGGAGAGATTTGGGGGACATGAGTTATGGAAATAGTCCAAGTAATATGTATGCAATCATTCTTCCCTGACAATTAAAATTGTTAGTAGAGTTTCTGTGTTTGGTGAGATTGTATTAGTGGAAGATGCCGAAATGGTATGGAGCTATATACATAGTCAGCTACTGAGAAAAAAGGCCAAGCATAACAGTATTTATTGCCCATCTTTTCTACTTGTCCAAGGGCTATTTTTGTTCAGAAAATATGTATTTTGTTTCTATATAATCCTTTACATCATGCTTAGACTATATAAGAAGGGCAAGAAATATTAGTTGAATTGAACTAAATATATGAATAAATACATGAAAGTGGCATCCTGCAGCCTATTTTCATTTTGCATTTTTGCTGAATGGGAGGTTCCTACTAAAAGACATCAAGGAACGCCCTTATGTAGCAAATTTGAATGGTGTCAGCTAAAATATGCAGTGAATATATCTTTCCTAGTTCCAATTTCCTGCCAGCTTTTCAAAACACACAGATTGTCTTTCTCATTCAGGAGGACAAGAAGTAGCAGGAGGTTGAAGAACAGACTTCACTCTGTCTGAACTGTTCACCTTGTTGGATATTTGAGAACCACTGGATGGCTTGAGACATACCACAAAAACAGTGTTGATTCTGCCCAGTTGCTATAAAAGAAAAAAAATATTTTTCTGATCTCTCTCACGAAGTGTTAGGTCTAACATCTGGCACTGGCTAATCCGCAAAAAGATAATAGAATGTGTTTGGGGACTTGCAGGCCCAGAGATGAGAATAATTTGGAACCCAATTTCTAATAGTACAGGGAGAAATGCTTTCATCTGAATCACTGATGTGATCAAATAAATATGAGTGAATACTCGCCAATTGCTAAAGCAATTTATCTCTCCAAATGTATTCGAAATGTTAATTTTATCAGGGTGCAAGCTGCTAAAATGCAGCTAGTAGATCATTAAATTTCAATAGGGAATAGACTTCATATTTAACATAAACAGTCAAGTCATTTTGGCTGCCTGCATCTTGTGCCACATTTAGAAAGCCTTCCGTGTAACCATAGGAACGGTTCTGCTTAAGCACTGTTGCTTGTGTAAATCCAATTCATTCTGAATTAGCTGAAAAAAGGGGGAGGGCTGTGTGATTTGTTTCTGTCCATTGCTTCCCAAGTTGCCTCTTCGAAAATGTGAAGGGAAAATTAAAAATAAGGTTTTTTTCTTTCCTTTCTTTGGGGGTGGAGTGTCGATAAGATTGGGAGACAGAATCCTTTTCTCTTAACAACATTGACATCACAGAAAATAAAAAATAATGAAATGATCTTCCATATCTCAGAATCTTTGCTGCTTAGTTAGGCATTTTTACCACTTGAAAAAAATATTTTCTATGCTTATCATTTTCTTAGAGTAATGTTCCTTAATACATGTGATTTAGGAACATACTCTTCCCACATATAATTTTACACATGGCATAAAATCCCAATAGAAATTTATTCATGTTAAGAAAGCCATCTTTTTGTTCTAGGATATTTTAGGAGCTATCAGCCACACATATGACATAGTGAGTTAGATTAGTCACATTATTTTCCTTTCAGCACCAAGGTCGGAGATTGGGAGAAGAGGATATTTTGCCACATGAAGCACTGAGGAGAGAGTCAGTTTGGGTGGGCTGCACAGAGGCAGTGTTTGGGGCAGCCAGAGGAAGGTAAGAAGGTACTGGTTTTCCAGAGAATTCAGAGAGAACTCTCTTTTGTGCCTTTCTCCTGCCTGGAAATTTCTTCCAACATCATTAACCCATTGATGTTTTTATCTTCAAGGTTCAGTTCAAATTTCATTGGCTCCAAGATATTTTCACTAGCTCCTACCTCCCAATAACAATTACTAATTTATTAACTACTGTACATTACAGATCTGTATATGTAAATCCTATACACTTGTTGTTATATTATAAGTGGTTAACCATCCATCTTCCACACCAGAATGTAAGCTACTTGTTGATAAGAAAGATTTCCTTTTTTACCAATTGCCCAGAATTTAGGACACTGCACCTAGTAAGCCCTAAGTCAATGTTTTGACTAGTTCTTGGAGGCAAAAATGGAAAGGCAGCAGGGAAGCTAAGGGCAGGTGTAGCCTGTTTTATAATTTTTATCCAGCTTGGGAATGACAGGTGGTGCTACTGTGGAGGATTTTAGAGATTTAGAAGGAAAGAGGAGAAAGGAAAAGGAAAGGGAAGGCTATTGGATTCATAAAATATACCAGGAATTGTAATACCAATCCCAAGAGGATACCTGTGATAGCCTAAACAAATGCCTCCCACAATCATATTCATATCCTAATCCCTGGAATCTGTAAATGTCACTTTATTTGTAAAAGGGGTCTTTGTAAATGTGACTTAGTTAAGAATCTTAAGGTGGTTAGATAATTATGAATTATTTGGGTGCATTATAAATGTCTTCATCACAAATGTCTTTATAGGAAGAAGACAGAGATTTCACAGACAGAAGAAGAGAAGGCAATGTAAAGATGAAGGCAGAGTTTAGAGGGATCTGACCACAAGTCAAGGAATGCCAGCAGACACAAGAAGCTGGAAGAGTCAAGAAATAATCCTACTACAGATACTCTAGAGGGTGAGAATCACTGGGTGAGTCAGCCCACTGATATTGACTTTGGACTTCTGACGTCCAGAACTGTGATAGAATAAATTTGTTTTGTTTTGTTTTTAAGGCACCAAGTTTGTGGTAATTTGTTATAGTAACCACAGCAAATTACTACAACACATACAGTATTCCCATTTATTAAAAAAGACAAAGTTGAAATTAAGAAAGAGTCAGCAATTTAGCCAAGTTCACACACATAATTACTGACAGAGGTGGGAATCAAATTCAAGTCTAAACAACTTCAAAGCTGTTTAGTTAGATTTTTCTCATCCAGCATGGGTGGGGCGAATCTCTCTCTAAGCCAAATTCTGTTTTATGGGATCAATGTTGGCACGGCTCCGTGGGCTGAGACACTCTAACTGGGCTGTCCCCTGCAGCAAAATTGAAACAGAGATTTCAATTAGTTGACTGAGTACTTCAGGTAGACCTGTAGACCTCTCTCATAATTACACCCCAAACTAAGAAACTAAATGAATAACCTTTTTAAAAATTTTAATTGTAGATATCCAACCAGTGACCTTGTCAATTCTGCTTCCCTCACTTCATAGTTCTTTATAAATGTCAAGTGAGAAATGTTAGATTTTCTTACAGATTCATTGAAACATGACTTGTTTATCTATTAAGCGTTCATCACCAAATATCTAGCAGGACCATACTATAGTCCAGGACCTGTTTTACATGTTTGAAATACATTATTTTGCTATAATAAAAAGCTAAAAATTCCTACACGTCTTAAATTTATATTTTAATAGGAAATAGAAAAGGTGAAGCAAAACAAACAAAAAATACAATAAATATTTAAGATATTTAGCATTATAATTTGAAAGAAGCTAAGCATAAAAATAAAGCCAAGGGAGATGAGAAATGGTAAGAGATGGGGTAGAGGGTGATTGGGTCAGGCAGCCAAGGCAGGTCTCCCTGAGACAGAGAGAGTTGACCAACGACAGGAAGGAGATGAGGGAACATGCATGGAGAAACCTGGGGAAAATCAGTCCAGGCAGACAGATGAAAAAAGTTGAAGATGTGAGAAGAGAAAAGGAGAGCAGAAGGATGTGAGATCAGAGAAGTTATTAGGGGGTCAGACTATACAGGACCTTGTAAGGCCATTGAAAGGACTTTGGATTTTATTCTAAGTGAGATGGAAAGCCATTAATGGGTTTTGACTGACATGATCTGGTTTTAAAATATCACTTAGGGGATCTTGTAAAGAATTGACTTCACCGAAGAAAGCATCAAAGCAAGTAGGCTATTTAGAAGGTCATAATTGTACATGACTGTAGGGAAAAAAGGCAAAATATCCAATTTCCTTTTTTATCTTGAAGTTGTCTCACCACTGAGTCTCTCAGAGAACTGATTATTTCATGTACTATACTCTACTTTTACCCTTTTTGATTTTCGTAACGAAACTCAAAACACAAATGACCTACACAGTTAAATGTCTTGCTGTGACACTGCACATCTCTATCTGAAGTAAAGGAAAACTGAGAGGAAATTAATTTTTTGAAAGACGGCCTTTTTCCTAATGTCCCAAACTTCATATAGCCTATACCAACAAGAACAGCTTTGATTTTGCTGTCTTTAATGCTCTGGGAATCCTATAAAAAGTATATAAACTCAGTGTTCACTCTGCGTGCCTGCCTTACCAAGGATCCTTACACCAAATGTATTTGTAGCTTAGAATTTCCCTCACATATAAATACAGATAAATCTAGAATGTAACTGAATATTAGTATTCAAATCATTAAATATGAAATGTCCTCCTTTGATTCAAAAGTGTAATTTAGTAGATGTCAACCAAGAAGCAGTACAATTAATCAAAGTATGTGCCTAAACTATTGACACAATTTTGCCATCTTAATAGTAGCTTGTTTTATGTTAGCAGGAAAGAAGCCCGGAGAGCAAGTGGCAATGAAATCGCAAAAGGTGTTTTCCACAGCTTGCTGAGAATTGAATACTTTTTCTTGTAAGAAATGGTCCAAGGCCTGGAAGAAGTGGTAGTCCGTTGGTGCAAGGTCTGGTGAATATGGTGGATGACAAAGGGTTTCCAAGTCCAGCTTCTGTAGTTTGAGCAGCATTGTTTGTGCAACATGTAGTTAAGCATTGTATTGCGAGAGGATTGGCCTGTCTCTATTGAACAATCTTGGCTGCTTAATCACAAGCATCCTCATCATTTTTTCAAGTTGGTTGGTTGCAGTAGACATTTGCTGGAACCGATTAACCAGGTCTCACGAAGCTGTAGTGGAAAATGCTGGACCACCAAACAGACACCATTAGCTTTTTTTTGAAGAATATTCACTTTTGGACTGTGTTTTGGCACTTCATCTTTATCCAACCATTGTGCCAAACATTTGTGATTGTCAAAAAGAACTATTTTTCATCACATGTAACAAAACAGTATAGAAAGGGTTCAACTTTATGTCATGACAGCAAAGGCAAGGGTGGAGATGATTTCTCTTCTGATGCTTGTTTAATTCATGCAGAAGCCATCTATCTAGCTTCTTTACCTTACTGATTTGTTTCAAATGGTCCAGCATTGTGGGAATAATAAGGTCGAACCTTTCTGCTAATTCATGTGTAGGTTAAGGTGGATTCACTTCCACCACAGCTTTCAGCTCATCATTATCCACCTTGGTCCTAGGTTGTCCACGTGGCTCATTTTCAAGATTAAAATCACCAAAGTGGAATTTCTCAAACCATGGACCTACTGTGCATTTATTAGCCACATTCTTCCCAAACATTTATTTGGTATTTTGAGCTGTCTGTGCTGCATTGGTTCCATGATAGACTCATATTTAAAAAAAAAGAAAAAACAACATACACAAATTTTGACTTATCCATGGTTTCACAAAAATTGCTCTAAAAAAATTTGAAAGATAATTGCAAGCCAGAAATCATGCATTTGAAAGAATGCGAATGTACCTTCACAATACAAATAAAACAAGAAGTGTCAAAGTGAAATGTCAGAGATATCAACCGTTAAACTTAATACTTAAAAAAATAGGACATTTCATATTTAATAACCTATTTTAATATGTGGTATACATTCTCCACTTATGGGATGTGAGACAGGGAACAAAGGAGAATGGAAGAAAGACCAAGAGTGTTGAGGAGGGGGGGAATGGAAAGGGAAGGCCAAGAGTATACTCAAGATTCCAAAGCTCTATATTTTATATTGCTTATCTACGATCTAATAGAAATCTAATTCTGTGGTTTATATTCCATAAACCCCATCACCTCTAACTGGTGGCAGCTTCATTAATTGTAAACACAGTACCTAGCAATTTTTAACTAATCTCTTGGATGTATAACATGCACAATCTATTCAACATCAATGACAAAAACATTTCAGAGGGTTTGGAAATCTAGTTTGGAGATGTATTCAAAAATCAGAGTGACAATTTTAAAATATTTTGGAATTTTAGGATCATAGCAAGTAGTTTTCACATTGGGACTTCAAAACATTCTAACTAGATTTTATCTCATTTTCCTGTTCTCAATAAGGCAAAATACCACAAGCACCATTCTTAGAACAGTGTTTTTACTTAAGAGGAAAACATGACAAGTTACTTCATGGGCAGATAAACAGAATAATGAGGCATTCTTCAAACTCAGTGCAGCAGCCTTCCTGTAACCCAAGTCAGTTTGATTTTGCATGTTAGAAGGAACTTCTGACTCTTTCATCTTTCATCTATGTCAGATTTTGCAACTTCAAAAATGCTTTTGTAAATAAAGATTCCAAAATGCCTTTACAATAAAATGAGAATTTTTTTTTCTTTTTTACTGTGTAGGAATTTTTGAATTATCCATTGTTGTTTATATTTTAAAATCCCATTTTTCTTCCTGCTTGTGAAACAAAATATTTACCATGTTGGGAATTTTACATTGCCATTTTTCTTCTATTTTTCTCTGACAGCACTGCTAGCATTGTTTCCTTTCCACACTGCCTTCATTTTTCATGAATACTTGTAGTGTTTATTCTAAGAAGCCAGGAAACAAAATTGAAAGGACAAATGTGAAAAAAGAAAAAAAAAAGCGGTTGATTTTAATAAACAATCCCAAGTGTTGTTAGCAGCTAATAACAATAGCACTGGGATATCTGAGTAGATTCATATGGTTGTTTAGACTCTATGAAAACAGTTGCTTTGTAGGTAAACAAAAAATTTTCAAGGAGTCAACACAGAGGGCTTCAGCTTGTGAAACTGATTCCAAATTTGGAAGAAAAAATTGTTGCCTTTTGACCCTTAAATTGTATCTTCATGGCCATGAGCATTTTGGTATGAATAGACTAAACCTAAGAAAAGGGATGTGAAGAGAGAGTATTTTATTACTACACTAGTTGAAATACCTTGGGATAACAGTGAGGAAAATTTTAAAATGTTCAATAGTTTGATAAATATGTGGCACACTGTAAATAATGCAGTTTTCACAAATATTAACAGCACAATCTCTGGGGCACGTTGTCTGAGTTCAAATCCCAGTTTCCTAGGTTACTTTCTTTGTGACTTTTAGCAAATCACTTAACCTGGGAAGATTTTAGTTTTTTCACCTGTGAAATGGAAACAATAGTACCAACCTCAAGGAGTTATTAAGACAATTAAATGAGTAATGAGTTATTGAACCAATTAAATGGATGAATAGGAATAAAAGCTAAGAATAGGGCCTTGGCACAGAATTAATACTCTCTAAATATAAACTACAGTTTTTCTTAGGTTTAAGAAAATATAGCTAAATTTGTGTCTTCTTTAATGCTAAAAGTTATGGGTTTACAAAATTACAAAAATAATTCAATGTAGGAAAAATAATCTTTTCAATAAATAGTGCTGGTATCTCATTAGATATCCATAGGCATAAATAAATAAATAAAAGAAATTTAACCTAAGCCTCGCACTTTGTACAAATTAACTCAGAATAAATCATGGAATTAAATATAAAATGATAAACTGTAAAACATTTAGAAAAAAATAAGAAAATATTTTCAGGATCTAGGGCTAGACAAAGAGTTCATAGACTTAAGCCATAAAAGGAAAAATTAATCATTCCAATCTCAACAAAATTAGAAAACAAAAGCTGTGTAAAGGGGATGAAAACACAAGCTACCTACTGGGAGAAAATATTTGCAAACTACATACCTGACAGAGGATTAGTAACTAGAATATATAAAGAACTCTGAAAACTCTCAAAACTCAACAGTAAAAAAAAAAAAAAAAAAACATCCAGTAGAAAGTGGACAGAAGACATGAACAAACAAAGAGGATAGACACATGATATTAACATAAGCTGAAAGTATGGTCAATCTCATTAGCCATTAGGGAAATGCAAAATAGAATCCCAATGAGATATCCCTATACACCTACTGGAATGGCTAAAAGAAAAATAGTGAAAGTAGCAATTGCTGGTGTATACAAGTGCAGAGAAGCATTATTTATATGTGGCTGGTGGGAATGTAAAATGGTATGGCCACCCTGGAAAAGAATTGGCAGTTTTCTATAAAACTAAAGGTACAACTACCATATATTAATAACTTAACAATTGCACTCCTGAGCATTCATCCTAGAAAAGTGAAAATTTCTTTTCACATAAAAACCTGTACCTGAATGCTCATAATAGTTTTTCTCTCATAGTAGCCAAGAACTATAAATACTGCAAATGTCCTTCAATGAGTGAAGGGTTAAATAAACTGTAGTACATCCATGCCACAGAATACTAGTCAACAATAAAAAGGAATAAACTATACACACATTAACTTCGATGAATCTCCAGGAAATTGGAATTATGCTTAGTGAAATAAAAAAATAATAAAAAAAAACATTATCAAAAGTTCACATACTGTATCATACAATTTATAAAACACTTTGAAATCATAAAGCTTTAGAAATGGAGAACAAATTAGCTGTTGTCAGAGGTCAGAAACAGAATAGAGGAGGTGGTGAGTATGGCTATAATGGTGATGAAACTGTTTTGAGTCTTTTTTTTTTTTTTTTTTTGGTAAACAAGTCCTCTTTGATCCTCACCCACATACTCAGGCAACTACTTATTTCTTTTCTGTGTCGAATAATGTGCACTTTTCTAGAATATTATATAAATGTGGTCTATAGTATATGCCATTTTGCTGTTTTGTATTTTTATTGTTTTGTATTTTTATTATATCAACATCAGGATTCTTGTTAAGATATTATACTAGTTTTGCAAGATGTTACCATTGGGAACCACTGGGTAAAGGATGATACCTCTCCTCATTATTTCTCACAACTATGTGTGAGTATAATTATCTCAAAACAAAAAGGTTAATTTTCAAAGAGTTGTGGGGCTGAAAGATTCTTTAAAAAAGAAAAGACTTTTTTGAAATCTACATAATTAAAACTGCAACTAGACCCATTCCAACAATAACAATAACAAAGTCTATTTTTCAAGACTTTAAGAGAAATTTTTTCCCAACTATTTGCCATTCTCTCCTTATCCAGAAAGATTTTCTTATCCTCATCTGAACCACTCTTGCTCTATCAACTTATTTTCTTCGAATCTAATGAGAGGAAAAAAGTCATCATCCTCAAAATATTACTCCTCATATAGGAAATGATGTTTTAAACTAGAAATTATTTAATTATTACTTTTCAGCTGATATTAATATTTTCTGAGCTGAACCTCTGACCCACCTAACCAACTGATAGCACTTCGTAGTCTCTTTAGGTTCCTTAATCATAGAGGAGGAAACAGATCAATCAAAAGCCTGGATAGTCAGTTTTATCTGCTCCTCTTTTAATGAAAGGTAATAAGACAACTTTTCTTTGTTAATATTCTACATCTTTACTGGGAGTTGGGTGTTGGAGAAGAGTTTGGTGCAAATTGTGTTGATAGGACATTTCTATGTTGGAGAGGAACAGATATGGTGAGTCAACTGCCATTTCAAAGAGGAAATGACTGGGCCTGGGAGCCACCTAAATGTAAGGTTGCATTAGTATTAGATAGGATAGGGTTGCACTGGCCGTGGTGCATACTGGGGTGTGTGAAACTCAGAGGCCAACTGGCTGAAGAACTTGTCTTGACTGTTCTCTAGGAGTTACATCATATTTCCTTCTCAGGAGGTTGGCACAGTTAGTCCCAAGAAGGCAAACATTCATTTCTTTTCACCCATTTAGGTCCTAATAAAATTCACTTAATTGATCCTTGAAGACATGTGCCATCCTCTCAAAATCAATCAACTTTTATCCATTAAAGGGAAAGTGATTAGGGTGTTTTTATGATAGAAAAAAAAATACACATAAACGTGCCACTTCATATGTAAGGGATATTTTTCTGAATGTCAAAGTTATTTGCCTTCTACTTTTCCTTTTAAAAAACAAAACAACCACAGTAAAAAATCTTCTGCCCTGTTTTCTTGACTTTATTGATGACAGTTGGTTACAAGACAGAGCAGGAACGGCCTGAGGTGCAGCATCACAATGAGAAGTTGTGATCTAGCATGAAAGAATCTCTGTGGTTTCAAGGCTGGTGTTTTTTAAGGTAGAAGATAGTTTATTTTTTTCCTTAGGCTAAGAGCTAAAAATGGAAGTAGAGACTGATTTATAACAATACAGAAGCCTAGCCTAGAAAATGCTTCTTTTAATGTTTATAACTAAAGAACAGCCATTTCTCTATGCCGTCAGCATGATCTTAAATTAGCACAACCTTCCATTGGCTGTCTCTAATTCCCACCAACTGGATGCAAGAAATAATGAAGTGTGTTTGGTCTTCAGCATCAGCAGGATGCTAGTTGGGGGCCTATTTTGAAAACCAAATGAAACAATAAATGGATATGAAAGTGCTTTGTAAACTGTCAAGTGTTATTCACATAAAAATTGCTTTTGTGATAAGTCAAACAAAATAAATGCTAAATACAGGTGGGAGCAAATTCTACATGTTTTCACTAATAGAAAATGAATTTTTGAAAATAGAAATGTTTGCCTATAGGCTCATTTGTGTAATTTCCCTCTCCTGAAAACCAACTCTGCCTTCTGATTCCTCTCCATGTTAATGATGTTTCATATGCAATTCATATTTATTGAATGACCACTTGAATTAATTCTGGCAAATATTAAGGATGATATATTGAACCACTGTCATCAGCACAACTTGTGCTCTGTGGTATTTCTCCACACTATCATGATGAATTTGAACTGAATCATCAGAATGCTCTCACCTGAGAAACGTGACAAATGACTCACCTGCCTAGACACCTGGCCAGGGCTCAAGTTCTTATACACAAATTGATTGACTAACTTGGGCTTTGTACTTTCCCCTCATTTCTTAGGCACTTTAGAATTGCAAATAAAAACATTTAAATACATGAAATAGAAGCAGAATGTTCTAAATGAGATTGAATTCAACTTCACAGTCTCTTCTGGGCCTGTCATTGTGTTTTGGTAATAAAGCTACAAATAAGATGTAGACATTGTCCCCTAGAAATCTGTAAAGAAGCACAACAGAGAGAAGAAATAATATGTATAAAGTGTGATGGGGACACCATGGGAAAGAGTGCTTAATACTCACTTTGGTGGAGAGTATAGTTCTAGGAAAGCTTACTTTGGGGAGATGGCATTTGACTTGAGCCTGAAAAGACAGGTCAAATGTGAGAGGCAAAGAGGGTACTCATTTACCACTGAAGAATGTCCATCCCTCCAGTCTCCTTCTTTCTTTATGGGACCAGAAGGGATTACAGCATGAGTCTTGGTTTCACTAAATTCTAGAAGAGCCATGCTATACTCATGCAAGACTTTAAAGTATTACCCAGAGAAAACACAAATGTTAGGTCTCTCTTGCCCTGTTATAATTTTTAAGGAAAACTAACATACTGTGGTTTAAAAGCATGGGATTTAGCATCAGACAACATTTGGGTTCAACTCTCAGCTCTGCTACTTGAGCAAGTTATTTAATCTTTATAAACCTCAGTTTCTTTTTCATTAATAGGAGGTTTATGATGGCATTTAACTCATTAGAATTTTGTTAGGACTAAATGACATAATGAATGAAAGGGGCTTAACATAATGCCTTATTCTCAGAAAGCACATAATAAACATAAGCCATTGTCATTACAAGGAATTTCACCCTCAACTACTATTTTTCTCATTCCTACATCCTCCATTGTGCAAGAAAACACAAATTTTTCATGTTAAGGTAAATGTTTAATTTTAAAACATGGATTTGGCTTAAGAATGGGTTAATAAGAGGAAAAGGTGATTTAAATGTGCTTGACTCCTCCACGGATGAAATCGTGCTGTAAGCTGAGTTGTGTATGTAGTGCCTCCCTCACTGCCACAAAGAAAGCCCAGTGTGGCTGCTTCTCCTTGTTCCCAGCAGCAGGGTTGTAGCTAGAGTTGATTTATGGGACCTCACATAGCACAGGCCATCTGGGATTACTAAGGAAACCATCGGGCTTGGGAGGGTCACTGTTTAGACTTGAGCAATCTGTGTAAGCTTGGACTCTGCACCAGAAATGTGGCTCATTATGCTGCTAGGCTATTAACTATCAACTTTCATTTTGAAATATAAATTCTGCTCTCTTGGCTGCCCCACTGATCTGGTTATAATGTGCTGTGTGTAATGGAAAAGTACAAAGGGAAAAGATGGAAATTTAGGCTTACTTAAACTACAACAGCAGTTGATGACAGCCCTGATTTCTGTACTAATGAATTCCTTTTGCCAAACATCAATGTTCCAATTTACCCCATTGCCCCAATTTTAAATATCATGTTTAATTAAGTATGTAATGCTCCTACTATTATTCATGACTTTTTTTCCTGTTCAGAAATTTATTCTTATTTGGGTTTTTTCTTATCTTTTCACTTGCTACTCTAATTTATTTTCCTTTTTCTTTCTTTTGTATCTGTCCCATTTTAGATGTGGTTTTTTTTTGGGGGGGGGAGGACAGAAAGAATATTTTAAAGGATATTACACTAAGGTTTCAGTTTAACACTGACAAAAAAAATCATTAAGCTGATTCATCTGTACACACACATAAAAATCACTGAAAAAAATATGTGTCATGCATTGCTCTAGACATCAAGAATAGAAAAGACCACTATAGTATGCTTCCTATTTTGATAGGATGGTCCTCCTTGATGAGGTTTATGCTTTCCAGTCGTTCATATGAAAGCATTCTGGGCTTTGCCTAGTTCCTTAATTAATTAATTTTAATGGTAGGTATCAACTATGTTTTCAATGGTCTGAGCTTGCTGAGGACTAACACGGCAATGTATTAACCATTTACTGTTGATCCTTCCTGAGAAAACTAGCAATTAAATGAGGTGAATAATATCAGATTTAAATAAAGACATACAATATTTCCATATTGTATAAAGTACTTCATGAATTTAAAAGCATTTGTATACTCTGAGCTGTGTAGCCTTGCAATGCAGCTTTTTTTGTAACAGCTTTTTCATTTTCTATTTCTTTTGTAAGCCGTGAACCCTTCTATAGCCTCAGCTACTTACACTGGTCCTGGCTAGGCTTCTCTTTTCTCTCTTCTAAAACTGTTTTATCATCCTCATCTGTAGGTCCCGTTCCTTAGGTTAACCATTGATCATTAACGCATATCTCTATCTCAACATACTCCCTATAACACACAGATGCCTGACTATATATATGGATATTCCACATATGTATATTCCAGAGCATTCTTACCTCTTGTTTGAAAAGCAAGGCATTCCTATTGTCCAGAGCCCCATTGCCACGGTATCTCTAAACAAATGCTCTTTCAAAATTCTGAGTTTGGAAGACTGCCAAGAGCCGTGGGCGAAACACTATGCACTTTTCCAAACTACTTTCTATATACAGTTAACAAAATGTCCTAAATTTCTCTATGAATTTCAATCTCACTGCTCTGTTTCTTTTTGACTATTACCCACTCTTGTGTATCTTACTTCTATTTTTTAAATTCACCCAGTAGATCATTCTAATTACAAGAACATTTTATACAAGCCCAATATAATTAAAAGCCCAACTTTAAATTTTCTTATTCAGGCTTTCTTAGATCTATACCTTATCCATATGCTAAAAAAAAAAAAAGAGTTTGCTTTATCTTCTATATTGATGGAGCAGACGTTTATATTTGTAATTGGTGTGCCTATGGTGACTTCCCATCCCCAAAATTTAAATGAAGCCAGGTCAGTAACTTTCTACAGGAGTCCATTAGGTAACTCTGATAACCAGGGTAGAAGGGCATCTAACAGGCCCTGAAATAGGTCACTGTTAAACTCCTTATTATTAGTCTTATTGTAAACATCACTGCTGCCACAAAGAGTTGTTTGAAAGGTACAAATCATAGTGAATTAAAAATCTAAAAATCTGATGTATAAGGATTAGGAAAACCAGCTACAATCCTTGGATGTACTGCCAGTATTCTTACTTTTTATAACCATGTCTTTATAGTAAAGGTAAGCAAGACAGAGCAGGGGAACTGGGTGATGGAAAAGGGTATTTTTACATGCTTTCCATTAACAAATAATGATGAAAAATTTTTTTTCTCAGGGCTTATATCTTTTTCCTAGATATGTCATTAAATAGTTCATCTGCTTCCTCGTGACTCCAAGCTTTTTTCACTTTTCCCTATACTACTTCCTGTGGCATTATTATGCCATCATTATTTGGTATCACATTACCTGTAAAATAGCTTTCACAAATGCTCTCGTAGAATTTTGTAAATCAAATTGTATTGAAATGGAAAAGACATCTTGGAGGTACCCTCAATTCCTTCTGATAGACAGTGAGTTAGACAGATAGATATAGACAGACACTCAAAAGTCATTCCTATTTTCGTAATTTCTATTTATTAAGTCTAATGCTGTTATCTAAGAATCCCCAAGGGTAGCCCTAATGTTGCAAGTCAAATTTCCAATCTATGACCCTAAGAGGTAATGCCAACATGGTTCAATGTCAAACATAACCATTGACCAAACTTTCTTACCTGATGGGCTCTCCTATTGCACATAAAAGGCTTTTGTGTAAGTATTGAATACACAGAGGATTATTTAATCTTTCTGTGTAATATGTGCCACAACCTCTCTTATTATTGTGCTATTTCCATCTCGAGTTAACAGCCACTGCTAAATTACATTTAGTCTTTCTGAAGGAGACTTTGTGTAAGGCGATGATTACTAGCATCTGTTTCTCAAGCAAGATGGGAAAGACTATCTGCTATCTTTAAAATTGTACATTGTACTTCTATTAAGGTGTTTTCTGCTTTGTTCATCAATTTCTGAAAGACTTCTAAAGTGTTTTACCTGAGACTTCAATTCTAGTGCAAAATAAAAAAAAAATCTAAGCAAACTCCTACATCTGTGAATTAACCATTTACTCCCCAACATGCACAAAATGGTATGTACTGCTAGGTATGACTTACTTTAAAATTCTCCTCAAAGCATCATCATGTATCTGAGTTTTTTACCTTCCCCTTCCTTTTTCTACTGCACTTATAAGAGGATTTATAAATTTTATAATAAATATTAGTGATCTTGAAAGTGCTTATTGATTAAAGAGAGAAGAAGTGATGAAAATCGCATTCCTTCATTAATAAGCAGTGCAATATATTTTCTACCACCTCAACCAGTCTCCCATATTCTTTTCCAGATCAGTGTTAAAATATCAAACAGAGAACATGAGACTGAGACCAATAAAGACTCCAAGACACTGGCTTTGTGTATGTTGTCTAGGCCTAGTGACCAGAAAGTCTCTTTATGATTAAAAGAATAAGAAAGGATAAGATATTTTTTTAAAAGGTAATAATGCAATACCATTTTTCATAAACCATGGACCACAGATCACTTGCATAAAAAAGAGAAACCTTAAATGTTTATAGAAAATTCAGACTCTTAGACATCATCTCAAATCTAATGAATCCTAGCCTCTTATGAGTTGTTTCATGTAATATGCATTTTGGCAGGATTCCGAGGCAAGTCATAAATATACTGAAGCTTAGAATTACTCTGTGGGTGTGGTCAGAGTGTACAACACTATGTTTACTGAAGAAGTCTGGCTTAGTACTTAGTTAATAGTGTTAATAGATATTAATAGGTAATAATATTTGTAAATAGTGTCAATTATGGTTTACAAAAAGCTCATTGGATGTAATTAGAGGAAGAAAAGTGATTATGTAAAGTGTTTCTCAAACTTTACTTGCATGCAGATCAGCTGGGAATCTTATTAAAATGAAGAATCCGGTTCAGTAGTTCTTGAGTGTGACTTTGAATTCTGTATTTCTAACAGGCTCCCAGGGATGCTGGAGCTGCTGTTCTATGAATCAAAGTTTGGGTAGCAGGGATAAAGAAGGACTAAAAGACGTACTCCTAAGAACCTCCAGTGACCACAGTAGTCGCCCCTTATGCACAGATTCATTGTCTGAGATTTTAGTTACCTGTAGTGAACTCAGGTCTAAAAATAGGTGAGTATAGTACAATAAGATATTTTTAGAGAAAGAGACCAATTCACATAACTTTTATGACAGTATATTGTTATAATTGTTCTATTTTATTCTTGGTAATCTCTTACTTACTGTGTCTAGTTTATAAATTACACTTTATCATAGATATGTATGTATGAGAAAAAATATAGTATATATAGGGTTCAGTGCTATCCACAGTATTAGGCAACCACTAGACTAGAGGTCTTAGAACATATTCCCTGTGGATGCGGGGGGAACTACTACAGTTACTTCAAATATACATTTTACTGAGTAGACTCCAAAATTCCTAGCAGAAACCCAAAAAGTTTTTGTTCAATTTGAGATCCGGGAAATAAGAATATTTTTTAAATGTTTCCTTAACCTATGAAGTGTGTGTTCTGTTTGACTTTCGATCTGAAGTGATCCCAGTTCTGTGCACTGTAATTAAAGAGAAACTGTTTTCCCTTTAAGAGGGAAAATGAACCAGTTTGGAAAATGTCTATATTAAGTCACAACATTTTTACAGAAATGAATATGAGGTAGTGTGTTAGATAATCCAGGAATAATATGATTCCAAGGAGATAGAGGGTAATTTGAAATCAAGAAATTGATGAGTTGACCAATATGACCTAAAATAACTGCTGGGGAATTAAACTTACGTGAGTGCCACTATGCTAAGAGTTGCATAAGGATTTAAAATTTAATCTCCAAATAGCCTATGAATAAAGTATACTTTCCTACATGTTATGGCTTCTAAAATAAGGCTCAGAGGTATTTTCTCAAGATCACACAGCTGGTAGTGGCAAAAACAGATCCTCAATCTCTCTGAGTCCCAAGACTCTAAATTTCTATTATATCAAATTGCTTCCCCACTCCAAAAGAAGAAAAACCATAGTGTTATCAGAGTTTTCTTTTTAGAAAGCATGAATTCTCTATGTGGATTGATATTGCCCCCAAGGGTAAAAATTGGTTCTTGGGGTGGGCGGGGAAAGAACTGATAAAACAAATATCTTATTTGTTGCAGTGCTTGGCAGATGGTGGTGCCTAAAGATACACAGCAACTCTGTGATATTAAAATTTCATGGGGGAGGAGGGAAGCGATTAAAAAAATAAAAACACTAATATGGTTTCTGGGGTGGGAGTGCATGGGCAGGCAGTGGAGCACAATAATGAAAGAAAGATTGAGAAACACATCACAGGGGGTGAAGTTCAACCTCAGAAGAAACACTGACTTCTTTCAGCACTGCCACAGTAATAATGATGGACTACGGATTCCAGCATATAGGAATGATCTATCAGCAGCCAAGGAAAAAGCAACTCACAGAGTGGTGGCCGACTCCATATTGAGGTAACCATGTCAGCCATTCATATGGTTGACAAAGCTAATGCGGAATTCCGCCGCCTTCAACAAACTACTTATTCAGAGAACAAAAATATGAGGAAGGAAGAGAGGGAAGGAGAGAGGGACACTGGGAGGGAATGAGGGAGGAAGGAGGAAAAAGCTGAGAGCATCATTCCCTAGTAGGCACTATTGAGCCAGTATAACCAGAATATTGTCTATGGTTGTCAGTTAGAGTCCATCTGAGTCAAGAATTACCCAAAACAAAACCATAAATCATCCTTTAACTCAATACTTTACAAGAAAACAAAAGGGATTAATTAATTGGTAGCAATTGATCCCACATGATAGAATGAGAATTACATGCAGCTTTTTAAACAGTTTATTTAAATAGGAGCTAGAATGACTTAGCATGAATGGAAGGAAGGTGGAGGAAGCCCACGGTGCTGAGGTGCTTTCTGGCAGAGAATCTTCCTAAGGAAAAAAGGGACTCAGACATGTGTGTGTGGTCTATTCACAGTCCATTCTGGAAGTTGATAATTTTGAGTATAGGACATCATATGTCCCTCAGCTTATTCTCCTAATTAGGACCCTTGGGAAAAAATAATAATCCAAAGATTCTCAGTAAAGAAGTTCTTTCAGGGAGAGAAAGCTACAAGTCAGAAAGAGCTGTTTTCTTAAAAACTTTGTAGTATAGGATAACACTGTTTTAGGACCCATATACAGGAGCATAAAACATAGATTAGGCTATCAGCTTGATTTTGCCCCACCAGGAGAACTGATGCATGAGTGGCACAGCAATTTTTTTCTGGCAAAGCAGAATAGCTTCAGAACAACATGATGTTGGCACAGCATCGTTTTAACAAGCTGCAGTGGAAAATGATGTGAAAGGTAATGGCAGCAGCAACGGCCAGGCACTTTCAAAGGGATTCAAAGGCATCACCTAGTGAAGGCAG